TAAGCCCGGCGAAATATGGTCGAACTTTCCAATATTTGTTATTATCCTGCATGCAAAATTTTGTACCAACTGTAGTTTCTTAATGTTGGTAGACGAAGTGTTTGACCAAACCGTTGAAACATAGAACATTTTGTTCATTACGAGTGCCGAGACGATGAGAGTTAAAGCTTCTTTATCGAAACATTTTTTGACTCGGCTTATTTGGCACAGGGAATTCATACATGAGGAAACCAGGATGGTGATATGCTGGTCATATGTCAAATAAGAGTCGATTGTCATTCCTAGATCTTTGGCAAAGGAGACGGGGGTAATAGTCTCGTTGAGGAAGTTTATGGTCATATCTACGGGAAGTTGTTGTAGATTTTGCCGTGTGCCAATCAGCATGTATTTGGTCTTTCCCGGGTTAATAAGCAATTCATTTTCGGAACAACTGTTTGCAATCAAATACAAGTCTTCCTCAAGTTGTTGCTTTAAACAGTCCACGTTAGCCACAGTGAAAGATAGTAATAACTTGGAGTCGTCCACGTACGATTCAAGTTTACTATGGTGGACTGATGAGGGCAAATCGTTAGTATAAATACTAAAAAGTAAAGGTGATAAAATTGTACCCTGTGGTACACCATAAAAAACAGGGAGAGGAGTAGACACAGTTGATCCAATTCTGACTGATTGAGTTCTTCCGGTCAAGTAACTCTCAAACCATTTTACAACGCTTGGAGAAGCCCCGACGTTGCTAAGTTTTGTAAGGAGAAAATTATGATTTACACTGTCGAAAGCTTTAGATAGATCTATTAGAATCAGTGCAGTAACCAATTTCCCATCCATGGCGGGATAGTATCTCCGGTCAAAAGATTCAATGTTTCGCATGAGTGATGTTTCTTGTTCCCGCTCTGGTGGGTTGACAATTTTTTGTTCTTCATTAGATACGAACCAAATTGATTCAAGGCGACTTTTTCACAAATTTTCGAAAGAAAGGTAAGGAGAGAAAGTGGGCGGTTATTTGATGCTTCCTCGTGGTTTCCATCCTTTAACAAAGGGATAACTTCTGCCTCTTTCCATGCTATAGGGAACGAAGATGACGACAGTGAACAGTTAATGATATCGGTGAGGGGCCCAAGAATTACCGGTAGGCTGTGTTTGATGACACGCATACTCACTTTGTCTTTGCCGGGTGATTTGTTTGACGGCATAGCTAATATGATGTTCCTTATTTCTGAACAAGAGACTGGGGTGAAACTAAATCTATAATTTTCTTCAGGGTAGCTGTTATCTGTGCGATTTACGTCAGAAAGATTCCGAGCTAGATAAACACTAGGATCTTGTATTAGTGTTGAGGCTTTCTTTGCAGCATTCACACCAATGGTGGAAAAGAAATGATTAAACTCTTCGGCCACTAATTTCGGTTCCTTACTGTAGACCACCGACTCTCTTTCCCTATACGCTATATTTTCTTTAATTACCTTCCAAAGTGACCCAGTATTGTTTCTGTGTTGCTGAACTTCCTTCAGTACATATTCTTTCTGTGCATTAACAAGTGCGGTTTTTGTAAAATTGCGGGCCTCTCTGAATTTAAGCCAATCATAATGATCACGTGTTTTCCTGAAAAGACTGTGGAGCTGGTCTCTTTTGATCATGGATGCTTTTATTTCCGGGGTGATAAATGGGCAAGATTTTCCGCGTACTTTTATGGTCTTTACTGGGGCATGTTTATCCAATGTATTTAAAAATATTTCATTAAAAATGGTTAGTTTTTCATCAACATTGTCCATTCTGAACATGTCATTCCGTGACAGAGTCTCTGAGTTTAGTTGCGTACTCCTTCTTTTTTTGCGAGATAAGTTTTTTCGTTAGGCGTCGAAGATCTTTAAACTTTTGAGCGTCATGAACACTACCTGATCTATTGGCTTTTAGTCTTTGCACGTTTTTTCTCTTAATGAGAGACAAAAGCTCTTTATCAATCTAAGAATGATCATGGATATTTCTGGGGTTTTTTTTTTCTGTTCTTTATATTATTTGCTGTGGTTTCTGTACCTAGCAGCAACGCATAGCCAGTGGCGTAGCCAGCCCGACGATTTAGTCCCGCTATGCAAATTCAAAGTTATTATCATTATTCATTTCTTTAGAAATTGATTGTTTTCACAGTCAATGAACATGAAAATATTTGCATAGCGGGACTAAATCGTCGGGCTGGCTACGCTACTGCGCATAGCAACAACATTAATAGTGACCTGAATTTTCAATGATGTGCCACCTCATTCTATGCTAATGATGATGCGCCACCACCACACGCCACCGCACATTTTACAACCTACAACGAAACCAAGGCATCGATTGTCGAAAGGTTTACTCGCACGCTAAAGACTAAAATGTGGAAATATTTTCCAGCAAACAATAAGCTCAAGTACGTGGACATATTCTCCAGAACTTATCAAATCTTATAACCATTCTCGACATCGTAGTATTGGTATGAGGCCGGAAGATGTGAATAAAAACAACCAGAATATTGTGTGGCAAAACACTCTGCGAGAATGAGTCCAAAAAATCAATCCTGTTTAAGTTTAGCATTGGTGACCAAGTCCGGATTAGCAAAGCAAAGCGAACATTCAAGAAAGGATACTTGCCCAATTGGACTGACGAAGTGTTTGCAGTAACCAAGCACATACCTCGGCCACGCTAAATAAAAAGCAATTACTTTTGTGACAAAAATGCTGACCTCAGCTTAATGGCTTTCCTGCCCAAATTTGCCTTGCGTGCGCATCTTCACAAGTATACAAATTACTGCTCATTCTCATATTACTGAATATTAATTAGCGCAACCTCAGCACCCTCATCAAAGGGTCGAACGGTTCCTTGCGCCCCCCTTGCATGGTAATTACCTGAATACAAGTAATTACCATAATTACCTCCGTCTCACTCCACACTCCTTACGCACTCTGATTTGTATGAATATTAATTAGCGCACCCTCAGCACCCTTACGAACCCTCAAAAAAGGGGTCGAACGGCCTGTATATGACTACTTACTAGAAAATACTTGCATGCAGAAACCCTCCCCTTGCTGACAAAACCATTGTATTTTCCGAACTTGAAGTATTTAAGTAGTTGTCATGGTAGGACGAAAATTTTTTTATGAGTATTTTACAAATGGAAAATCCACTAAAAATATTACTTTTAATTACAAAATTATCAATTTCCCACACATATATATGTTACGGCCTGTTTCGCAAAACGTTTAATTTTAAACTTAAAGTGTTCTTTTAATATAGAACTAAAGTTAGCTGCCTTTATCGATAAACTTTGAGGTCGAAATAAAATAATTCCAAATTTTCCCATGCAAATAACTTTGCTTAGTATAATAAAAAGAGTAATCAATAAAGAAACACTGAAATAATACGCTGTCTTGTTTCATATTTATACGCAACGACCGGCTTTTAAAGTAATTACAGTATATTAGAAGAAAACAATGCACCAATATTTAAAACAAACTTACCTTCGTAAACGTCGGCACCTTTACTCCCTCCTTTTAGCAATTCTTTTGCTTTTATTTCATTAAAAATCTTTTCAAATTTACAAAATGTTTCAAAAATGAAATATATTTGCAAGGAATCATCGAATCAATTTCGCTGTCGTCATGCGGCCGTTATAATGCCAATATTAAATTGGACCAATCAGTGTTGGCTATTCATGACAGTCCGCTATATTATGAGATCAGTGAGAATGACCACCCACCGAAACACGCACAGTAACCCACGCCCACGATTATTGATGTACTTTAGACTTCGCAAATGGTTCGTTTCCCCGGGTGTAAATAGCCGGGAGGAATTAGTACCCTCGCACGGCGCTTCGCGCCGTTGGCTCGGGGATAACAACACGGGGGCAAGCAAAAGTTTATGACTGGGAACAGCAAACCAAGTATTCAAAAGATAAGTGCATTTCAACAAACTATTCAATCAAATTAAACTCTACTTGGTGGTGAAAGTGCGCATCAAGGGGATATAAAAAAGTTTCATGGTTTTCGAGGATCAAACAATGGGGTAGGAAAAGAATGTATCGTTTAGTATGCGTGAATATTTTGGTTTCTATGCGGTTTTAAAATCATGTGTACGTTTGTATATTTATCTGCATGGTAAACTGTAACCTTGTCTAAATTATTATTGAAGCTATGCAGCAGCAGGGGTATTTATAGTTTGTGTATATCTATATACTGTATATGTATATATATATATCTATATATATATATATATATATATATATATATATATATATATATATATATATATATATATATATATATATATATATATATATATATATATATATATATATTATATATATTATACCTCACAATGAGCTTGTCCAATCAGAGAACTAAATTTGTACCACATGACCATGGTATTTTTCAGCGAATACTATGACCTAGGCAATTTGAACCCTGGGTGTTTTACCCGGGGCCATGGTATTCGACTTCGAATACCACGCTTGAGCGGGAAATTCGACTTTTTAAATGTAAAGTTATCAAAAGTTGTGTTTTGAAATTAAAAGTTAATTGAATGGTATTTGTTTTCTACTTATTTTTGAAAGGTTCGGTATAATATACCATTTATAGACCTTTCACTCGGGGTATTCCACAAAAAATTACCCTGCGGGATGAAATATTCCTCGGGCTTCGCCCTCGGAATATTTCATCCCACAGGGTAATTTTTTGTGGAATACCCCTCGTTTCAGGTCTATAACTGATAAATATATATATATATATATATATATATATATATATATATATATATATATATATATATATATATATATATATATATATGTTATATATATATATATATATATATATATATATATATATATATATATATATATATATATATATATATATATATATATATATATATATATATATATATATATATATATATATATATATATATATATATATATATAATACATAATTATAATATAATTGTAATTGAAGAAAAAAAAACTATTCGGAATAAGGTGCAAGCTAACTGCATGTGTAATAACCGTGGGGTTAGACGAGTTAGCAAACCATAGAAAATATAACCTTGAAATATTTAGCAACCCTTCCAAAACTGATCTTTGATCGGTTCATGCATATAAAGGTGACCCTACAGATTGATATTTAGGGTCCATATAATATAGTTTTCTAAATTCATTGAGTATAGCTTTATTGCATGTGAACATTTTTCCATTTCTGAAAAGAATGCGCGTATACAGGGTGCATGTATCAAAAAAGTAAGACAATTTTGAAATTGCTCTCAATTCCACAATTCTGTTCATGAAATGTAATTTTTTATATGTATGGATTGCTTGAGTTCTTAAATTATGGAAAATATAAAATATAAATATAAAATTTGAAAATAGTAAATTTTGCTATCCAGGGGAATGGTCAACTTTTGCTCTCCTAAAAGTGGCTTGCGCACGGAAATGACAAACGGTATTCTTTCTTTGAGTTCATGTATGAAAAGTTCCCTATTTGTTGCATTTATGATAAAATTTCGGCAGGGTTTTACCGAGTACAAATCCTCCGAAAAGCCTATGAAAACGTTACATTTTTCTCTGTTGGTGTTGTTCTTGCTTCATTATGAATTCATTTTTACTCCCATGAGTGTTCCGTGGAATTTCCATGGAATTTGTGCTTTCGAGTTGTTTGTGCTGAAACGTATTCTCTCGTATAATACCCCGTACACTTGGAAATGGCGATGCCACAATTTACCCCGCAGCAGAGAGCTTTTATGCATGGTATCAGAGTTCCTCCGTAGCAACAACATAAACTTACTATGCAGTAATAAATTTACGTGGTGTTTCCACAAACAAAAACAATTATATCATAAACTTGGTTCGCCAAAGTTTCACGAACAAATATCCAGATGTACGATGCCCTTCACGTATTCGCACGTGAAGGGCATCGTACATCTGGATATTCTTTCGTGAAACTTTGGCGAACCAAGTTTATGCGGTTGCTACGGAGGAACTCTGATACCATAAAAGCTCTCTGCTTCGGGGTAAATTGTGGCATCGCCATTTCAAAGTGTACGGGGTATTATACGAGAAAATGCGTTTCAGCACAAACAACTCGAAAGCACAATTTTTTTAAAATGTAACGTTTTCATACGCTTTTCGGAGGATTTGTACTCGGTAAAATCCTGCCGAAATTTTATCATAAATGCAACAAATACGGCGAACTTTTCATACATGAACTCAAATAAAGAATATCGTTTGTCATTTCCGTGCGCAAGCCACTTTTAGGGGAGCAAAAGGTGACCACCCCCCTGGATAGCAAAATTTAATATTTTCAAATTTTTTTATATTTTCTTTCCATAATGTAAGAACTCAAGCAATCCATATATAGCAAAAATTACATTTCAAGAACAGAATTGTGGAATTGAGAGCAATTTCAAAATTGTCTTACTTTTTTTGATACATGCACCCTGTATATCACTCATGCAATATAATCTATGTTGTGTATTAAAATTTCCTCCTTTTCGTTAATATTAACATATCAATCCAGTTTCAGACAAAACTCTCAGTTCATACTCATCGCTAATCCACAGTGCAGCCAATATTAATTATATATTGTCATACAAACGGCGAAGAACTTCTTCCACCGTGATAGGAACTCTCTTGAACGTAGGAAGTTCTCTGCCATGTTTAGTGTTATCCTTTTCATGCAGTTCCCCTTACTAGCTTATAGTTATAACAAGTAATGTAACTATATATGTAAGGCTACATATTACTGATAAT